AAAAAGAAAGAAAAAAGAAAAAGAAGAAGAAAAGCAACATACAGGGGAGATTTTATAGGAAAAGCAAAACCACTGAGTGAAAACTGTGGTGTGAAGTATGATGAAAAAGGCTGTTCCTGATTCAGTCCCAGGCTGTTCCTGTCCCAGTGCCAGGTCCAACAACCATTGTTGTTGCTTGCATGGACACAAACCCCTGCCCACACCAAAGTTTGAACGATGACTTCCTTTAGCCACGTGTGGTGTCATTTTCCATTACCTCCAGAACAGAGAGCCATATTATTTTGCTATTTATCGTGAGTTTCATTTCCAACAGCCAAACTAGACATCTAAACTGTTTTCTCTCTTCAGCTTTCAGAGTAGAGGCTGAAAGCAGATAACAGAGAAACACCCTTCCCCCCCTCCAGTGTTTCTGAATGTAAGAAGGAATGGTCTTTCAAGGATTTTGTTACAGGGTACATGATAGAGAAAGGCAGAGAAGAGGACACAGGAATTTTGGAGAAGCAAGGGAGAAATATGTGAAGATTTTAGGAGCTTCCTGTCCAAAACAGAATTAGAACTGCTATCCTATCACTTTGTAAATTAGCAATATTAGGCATGATACATCTTCTGGAAGCAATTTGCATCAGGGTATCCTGGAGCACATTAGGACTGCAGCACTCTATGTATTTATATACAAGCGCCTAACATGGCATGGTTCCACAGAAACAAATTATACCTAGTACTAATAAAATATCAAGAACTGTAGAAGTATAATTATCAGTTTTACAGCATGACTGCTGTACTGCGATAATTATGGAAAAGTTGACATGTTAGTGCAGGAAAATAGGTAAAATATCTTTTTATTTCACCAATACACTCTTCTAACTCCTACTAGTGTTTAAAATCCTGATGTTCCCAGTGGAAGTGATGGCATGGAAAATTTTTCTTCTGCCTCATTTTTCCCTTGATCATCTGTGGATAATTAATGGCCACCTATTAACATTCCAACCCTTGTTAAAATAGGCCCTTTAATTTTTTATATTTTTGCCTGAGTTATAAAAAAGATTGTTCCTGCATAGTATAGTGGACTTGTCATAAACATTTAAGATATACCACAGTGTCATATTTTCTGGGCAGTATAATAGCATTGCATTTTTGTTTCCCAAGGACTATGACTTTATGGAAAGGCTAATTGATTGAAGTTGATTGATTCCATTCATCCTCCAACAGACTTCTCAGCAAAACAATTTCCCTTTAATTAAGTAATATGATGCAAATTACTTGGCAATTGGTTTAATAAAAATATATGACGCAAACTAACATGGGGAAAAAATCTTAAAAAATGCAGAATAATTCTCTGTGTAGAGCAGGTAATGGGGAGACTACTGAAAATGAGCTTAGAACAACAATAAAAAGTAAGATTTTATAGACTCTTTCAACATTTCTATTTTTGTAACAGTTAGATGGATGTATCCCTTGCTACCTCCCTCATTTACTAGCGTTAAAGATATTTGAGCTGTCCCTTTTTTCTCTCTTCTACCCAATTACTAATGTATTTTCTTAAATAATAATACAATCAGTTCTGATGTTAATGCTTTCTGGGGTAAATACACATACTTTTCTGATTTATTTTTTTGATCTATGTACATTTTTTGAGTTTCAAGTGAGAGAAGTTTTCCATTTCTTGTCCAAACCCTTGTACTAATACTCTTGTGCCCTGTTGCATGTATTATTGCTCATGTATATTTTGTAGAAAACCTGGGGGACAATATTAAGGCAAAATGTCCTCTACGTGCACTCCTCATCTCAAGTACTGCTTGTTTAAAATTTGTAGATTGTAGAGACTATCCAGTTGCAAAGATTCATAACACAGTATGTGGTAATTTTGGGGACATCCTTATGAAAATGTATCTCTTTGTAGCACATCTTTTCTCTATGTCCCAGTCTTCTGAGGAGTCATGTAAAGGTAGCTCCTATCTGTCATCTGTCCCTTTATGGTGTGGGTGAACCCTAGAAGTTATTGTTGCAGAAACAAGTATTTTTCCAGGGATCTCAACCCAGGGATACTCACAGGAGGAAAAGCTGTTTGGTAGTGCATGTGGACAAGATGCACAGAGAAAATGGAGTCGCTGCAAACTGATGAACTCCTGGAAAGTACTGAAAGGTTGCAAGAACATGAGCAAGACTGCAAGGACAGGGGAAGGTACCCAGAGAGTGTTACAAAAGGACTGAGTGGAGCAAACCTTGGTCAAACTCCTGCAACTCAGAGACAGAAAAATGTATGATTTTCACATAGGTTCTTGACTCTTTCTGAGAACACTGCTAGCTGTGTAAGAGCCCACCTTTATGGTTTCAAGGACTCAACATGTGTCTGAGGTAGCATCAAACAGTCTGATTTTACTGTGATTAGTTGCAGTTCTCATGTCTGCAAAATTAGCCCAACAACCTAAAAAGAACAATTGTTTTGGAGAGAGCTAGTATTTTTTCCAACTTTCTTTTAAGACAAAAATCTTTGACTGTCATTTTGTAGATATCATTTGTACTGACTTCAGCCAGCATCAGAAAAAAGTAAGCACAAATACAAAATTTTTTCTTTTGGTTTTAGTATTAAATTAAGTTTCTTTAGGAATCCTTTAAAAACACAAATACACCTCAACTCAGGCTGTGGCCAGAGTTTCAGATCTTATTTTAGTTTAATTTTCTTTACTGAAGCAAACCATCAGTCTTTCCTGGCAGGCAGTTCAACCCAACTAGAATATTTTCCATAGTGAGCTCCAGATACCCAGCATTCTAATGCATGCCTTTAAAGAAAGAAGAAATATCCAGAGTCCTGATGCATTCAATCAAAACAGCAAAAAAGTGATTTCCAACCAGCATTTTCCTCAACAGAGTAATGCAAGGGGAGAAGCAATAATTTCTTTCTGAAATCAGCAATGTCAGTCCTTGACACAAAGGAGGTTGGTGAAGAAAGGTTAGCTTTGGTGTCATCATGCCATTAGGTCTGAACGCCTCTGAGTGATCACTAGTACAACCTGCCATTCATAGGCCCCTGAGGATTTCTTTTTAAATGAAAGATTGCAAAAATCTCATTCCCTATTCCAGCACTGCACACGCGAAATACTTCCCTTCCCCCATCCATTGAATAAACTAATTGGAATAAGGTCCTTAATGGAGGGCAATGGCAATTCTGTGCAGGTGAGAAGGCATAAAACATTTGCCAGGCAACTATTTTTGACTGGTGTTCAATGAAATATTAATACACGACCTTCATGATTTTCTCTTTCCTTTAAATACCTCAGGGCACTGGAACCAAGGTATTTGAGAAACACTTCCGCTTCCTGGTGATCAGGGTTTAAAGAGAAATAAAAATGTATCTGTGCTCCTTGCATTTGTGACCAAAAAGCCTCCTCCAGACTGACTCTGGTCTTGGATACCAATGTCCTTTTGAAAGGATTTTAAAAGAAACTGAATATAAGAGACACATAACTTCTCTACATCTAAAAGCAAAATTTACCTATGGAGATTAAGAGATAAAAGGTTCTTACTTCAGCCACACACCTGCTGGATTGTTGCACTGACCTTTCCTGCCCAGCACCATTTGAGAAAGCTGTGTAAGGTCTAATAGACTGGAGCTACCTATTACCCACAGTTTGGTTGAATATAAACCTTAGTAAATGTTCTGTCATTTCCTGAATGTTGATTTATATTCTAGGGTGGAAAACCAGATATTTTAAGCAGAAATGATGTAGTAAGTTCCTACTCTTTTCTTTTTCAACCGATGCACAAGATCATGAATATTTTCATGTATAAAGCTACCTTAGTGTTCAAAGACAACATCTCTTCAACAATGTCAGAAATACCACAGATACCAAAGATGCCAGAGAGCATTGTACAAACACTCCTTGAGCCCTGGGCTCCTGTGAGGCCCTGGATGTGGTTGCCAGCATATTCTGCATTCTTCCCTCTCCCTTATCGGCCCTGTCCAATGCAGCCCCAGGGCAGCCCGGAGGAGCCCTGTCTGGGGCTGCGCTGGGGTGACCGGGGATATGGTGGGGTCACTGGGAGCAGCCTTCCAAAGCCCCAGAGCTGGAGGATGGTGGCCAGGCTGTGCTCAGGGCTGCTTTGGGCGTGGGGCCGTCTGCGCGAGTCCTGCACGGGACCCATGTGTCCTGGCTCCCACGCCAAAGGGCTGCTTCCCCAGGCGAAGGGGACAGGGGAGTGACCCTGCGTGAGTGCCTGCACCTCTGGCAGTGAGTCAGGCCCGGGGTGCCCTTTGGGTGCCCTTGGTGCCCTTTGGGTCTTGGTGGATCTGCTTGGTGCCGTTTGCTGGTGCCACCCCGCCCTCCCTCGCCATTCCATGCAGACACAGGCAGGTGTTGGAATAAAAATCTTTTATTCCGTAACCAGAAGAAAACTGTTAACTATATCTAGGTCTACATCTATCTCTGCATCTTGCCGACATCTCTATGTACATCTTCGCGACATAAACACCCTCCCTCCCTCCCTCCCACTGGGATAGATCCCCAAACGATCTATCCCTCCCACTGGCATAGATCCCCAAACGATCTATGCCTCAACCTGGGATAGGTCCCCAAACGACCTATCCCTCCCACAGGGATAGATCCCCAAACGATCTATCCCTTTAAGAGGCCTCAGCCAATCTTTCTGCCCCAGCCCCAGCTGCGGTGGCCTTGATCTTGCTGGCAGGCCCTGGTTCAGAGCCCCCCTTCCTCTTTGTCCCCCGCCTTTCCAGCTTGGTGTCGTGTGGGGACACGCTGCTCTGCGGTGGTGGCAGGCGTGTCCCCACGTGCTGCTGGGTGTCCTCCTCCATGGCGACATCACTGGCCAGCGAGAGGTCGCAGCCTCGGGGGGCGTCCTCCTCCATGCAGACATCACTGGCCAGCGAGAGGTCGCAGCCGCGGGCGGTGTCCTCCGCCATGGAGACGTCGCTGGCCAGCGAGAGGTCGCAGCCACGGGCGGTGTCCTCCTCCATGGCGACATCACTGGCCAGCGAGAGGTCGCAGCGGCGGGGGGAATCCTCCTCCATGGAGACGTCACTGGCCAGGCTGATGTTAAGCGCTGGGGTGACGTCCACATCCATGGGGGTGCTCCTGTGTGGGGGGCTGCCACTGCCCAGGGGTGTCCCGGAGGGGTTGGCTGAGCTGGCAGGGCTGCGCTGGCTGTGCCGCGCTGGTGGGACCGGGGCCACTGCTCTGCCCTGATGGTGGTAGGGCTGCAGTTGACCCCGGGGGGCACTTTGGTCTGCCCCAGCCAGCGGCTTCCCACTGCCCTGGGCCCCCCCCCGGGCAGTGTTTGATTGAAGAGCAACACCAGGGCTGCTTGCCAGTGGGGCTGGTGGAGGCAGGTTGGCTGAGCCTGTGAGAAAGAGCAAACCCTGGAAGTCACATCCCGAGCTGGGGCTGTCAGGTGCTGAGAGCACTGAGGAGGAGGAGGAGGAGGAGGGCGAGGTGCAGGGGAGGAAGGGCTGTGAATGTCCCCACCGTGCACCGCGGGGCTTTCGGGGTCAGGCTCTGTCCTCACCTTGGGTGCCAGAGGTTTGGGGGGAGCGGAAGAGCTGCACGAGCCGGGTCAGGGCTGCTCTCCAGCTCACAGAGCGGCGCCACAGAGCTGACAGGGCCATGGTCAGTCAGGCTCGGTGGCCGGTCGCTTCTGTTGACTGGACACAGGTCTGGATGCTCCTCTTGGAGCATCTCCAGGGATGGAATGTTTGGCCTGCCATTGTGTCATAGAGACAGCAGTAATGCTGGCGCTTCCCTTCTTCTGCCCCACCCCCAACAGCTTTGCCAGCTCTTCATGGGCAGAGGAAGGGTTAACCAAAGAGCTCGAATCCCATAACATCCTGCCTTGGAAGGGACCCACAAGGGTCGCCCAGTCCAACTCCTGGCCCCGTGCAGGACAGCACAGCCATCCCACCATGTGCCTGAGGGCGTTGTCCAAACGCTCCTTGAGCTCTGGCAGCCTTGGGGCCGTGACCACTGCCCTGGGCAGCCTGTTCCAGTGCCCGACCACCCTCCGGGGGAAGCACCTTTTCCTAATGTCCAACCTAAGCCTCCGCTGACACAGTTCCGGCCATTCCCTCGGGTCCTGTCCCTGGTCCCACAGAGCAGAAACGACCACTGCCGCTTGGGGGGAAGCTGCAGCCTCCGATGAGATCTGACCTCAGTCTCCTCTTCTCCGGGTTCAACAGCCCCAATGACCTCAGACCTCAAGTGCAAGGTCCTGCACCTGGCTCAGGGCTCGGCTGGTGCCACCTGACGCAACATCAACTTGCCAAGTTTGCAACACAACAGGGAGGACCAAGAAGACTTTGGCTAAGAGAGACTATTTACAAGGGACTGGAGTGACAGACCAAGGGGCAATGGCTTCACACTGGCAGAGGGCAGGGTTAGAGGGCATATCGGAAAGAAAACCTTCCCTGTGAGAGTGGTGGGGCCCTGGCACAGGTTGTCCAGAGAAGCTGTGGCTGCCCCATCCCTGGAAGTGTTCAGGGCCAGGCTGGACGCAGCTTGGAGCAAGCTGCTCTAGCGGAAGGTGTCCCTGCCCGTGGCAGAGGGGTGGTTGGAAGCAGATGAGCTTTAAGGTCCCTTTCTTCCAACACAAACTGGTCTAGGAGTCTAGGAGTCTTGAAAAACAGGAGACTTCTGCAGAAGCCAGAAGGTGAATAAAACCATTTGCCGCTTAAAGACAAAGTCTTGTTACCAAGGGTCATCCCCCGATTCTGGGGACTACTCTCATGACTTCTCACCACTGGAAGCTGACATTGCTGAAAGCGAAATAAATTGACCTAAAACCAAACAATCCGACAAAAGCTCCCTGATGGAAGGATCCTGGAGCAAGCATATCATCCTGGAGGCAATGATAGGGCAATTTCTGCGCCTCTGCCGTAAACCTGTCAGTTCTGGCCCTACCCTGGAGAGTTTTTTTTCGGCTCTCCATTCCATGGGAAGACAAGTGTGGACAAGAAGAACAGGGTTCTGTCCGCTCAGGGTCAAAGGTGCTTTAGGTGTGTGCTGTGATCTGTTGGAGTTGAGCTCTTGTCTAGAAAACGAGGGCTTTTGGGACTGCTCAGCATCTGGCTCCTCACGTGGAATCAGATGTTCCAAGCAGGGAAGGGTATGTCCAAGAGAGGTTCTGCCCACTTGAACTTCTGAACTTGTGGAGCTCTCCTGGCAGTTCTGGGCGTAGTGATTCCGTGGATGTCAACTGGCTGTTCTGGAGAAAAGCTGGGGGTTAAAAGAAGTAGTGAGAGAACCAGACTGAAAAGGGGTGAAAGTGTTTCAGAAAGTGAGGCTGGGCAGCAAGAGCTCAACGATAAGAACCAGGGTGTTTCCCATTCCCTGGCATTAGGAGAAGGACGAAGGGCCCCTGGAGAAAGACCCACCGGTGCAGTGTTTTAGGAGACAGGGGGTGCAGCAAATCAGGCTGTGGGCTTCGAGTAGTGAGTGAGGGGAAAAAAGGATTTCAGGCCAGAAGGAAGAAGATCCCTGAAGAGGCTCAAGGCAGCTCTCCTCATCTCCACGGTTCTAGTCTAACAGGCTGCCTTGCTTCCTCCTCCCGCCATCCCGAGCTCCACTCTTAGCAATAGGAAGGTGTTCTGGCAAAGGCTGTGGTGCAGTCACGGTTCGCAGTGAGAAGCAAGAAGTCACTGGTTGTTCAGTTGTCGGTTCCCAAGAGGTACCGTTTGCCCGGAGACAGGGGGCCCAGTCAGCAGCACAGAAGGTCTCAGGTGGCCGCGTCCTCCCTTTTGAAGCGGCCTCCATTTTGAAAAATGTCAGTGGCCTTCCGAGCCACCTCATCGGGACGTAATGGGGGGCACAGAGTAGGGGTGTCGGGAAGCCTGTAACCCCAGAGTATCTCAGCCAGTGGAGAAACGGGCAGGGAGCAGCGCTCCGGGCAAAGGGGCTAAAAGAGGGCTGCCACCTCCACTGAGTTGAGCGACCTCACTGCGGTTTGTCCAGTGAAGTCTCCCTTTTACTGCAATAAAAGTTTATTTTTTTTCGTCAGCTCCTCTATCTGCTGACTATTTATGTGTTTCCCACTGGCTGGAATTTCAGACGACCACAATCCCTCTACAGCCCCGGTTGTCCCGGACCTTCCCATCTCCAACAAGGTCTTTGCTGTGTGTTAGTAAGAGGTGGAGCAGCACAGCATTCCTTTTGCTTGTCAGAGGCTCCAGCCCCCTGGGCCCGGAAGCTGTCGTCACCGCTTTCCGGGAACCTGCTGGACTGTTGCTTCTCCAGCTGCCGTCAGGGTAGTTGAAGTTGTCCACGAGAACCAGGGACTGTGACTTGGAGGCTGCTTCAAGCTGCCTGTAGAGGTCTCCTCCACATCTTGCTCCTGCTCAGGAGGCCTGGAGCAAACACCCACAGCAGTGTGCCCATTGCCAGCCTGCCCGCCCTTTGATCCTGACCCATCAACTCCTGAGTGGCTCGCCATCCACCCCAAGACAGAGGTCGAGACATTCCGAGTGTCACCTCCCAGAGATCTACGGATGTCGTCTCCCTGGGCTCCTGTGAGGCCCTGGATGTGGTTGCCAGCGCATTCTTCCCTCTCCCTTATCGGCCCTGTCCAATGCAGCCCCAGGG